GTGTGGGCTCCTGGAAAGCTCCAGGATGGGGCTGGTCCCCAGAAAGATCAAGCCATGATTAGAAGCTTGAAACTTTAAGCCCTACCCCTCATCCTCCAGGAAGGGGAGAGGGGCTGGAGACTGAGCTAATCATCAATCATGTGTACATGATGAAGCCTCCATAAAAATCCCCAAAAGTACAGGGTCTGAAGAGCTTCTGGGTTGGTGAATACATCTACATGCCAGGAGGGTGACACACTCCAACTTCATGGGGACAGAAACTCCTGCACTCGGGACCCTTCTGGAGCTCACCCTACGTATTTCTTCATCTGGCTGTTCATCTGTATCCTTTATCATATCCTTTAGCATGTAATAAACAGTAAATATAAGCAAGTGTTTCCGTGAGCTGTTCTAGCAAATGATCAAACCCAAGGAGGGGGTCATGAGAACCGTGATTTACAGCGCTGGGTCAGAAGTACAGGTGACGACCTGGGACTTGCAATCAGCAGCAGAAGTGGGGGCTAGGGGGAGGGAAGTTGTGCGGACGAGGCCCCTAACCTGTGAGATCTGATGCTATCTCCAGGCAGATAGTGTCAAAACAGACACCCAGCTGGTATCAGAGAACCGCTTGATGTGTGGAAAACCCAGACCTCTGGTGTCAGCAGTAAAGTGTGATGGCAGCGTGAGAATAAAGAAGAAACACAAGAGGAGAAGTGTGTTTTTCCTTTATGAAGGCAAAAAAAGAAAGCCATAAATAAAATAAAAAATCAAATAAAAAACTGAAAATGATAAAGAACCAGACAATGGTCTGATTGTTAATAGACATATAGCTCTTAGAAACTGATAAGAAAAAGATGAGAAACCAAACAGGAAAATGAGCAAAGGGGATAAATAGCATTAATAATAAAAAGAAACACAAATTCCCAATGAACACATGAAAAGTTGCCCAATATTACATACAATCACAATAAAACAAAAGAAAATTTTTCTACCTCTCACACTGACAAAAAGTTGACAATACTCAGTATTCGCAAAGATGAGGTCATACACTTTTGGTGGCTATAAATTGTACAACTTTTAGGAGGACAATTTGGCAGTACTTTTCAAAACTAAAAATAAATATAACCTTTCAGCAATTCCACTTCTGGGACAGCATCATAAAAATATATGTACAAGAGTTGTTATTGCAACATTGCTTTTAATAGACAAAAACATGAAAAATCTCTAAATGATTACCAACAGGAAACAGTTAAATAAATAAAGATTCATTTATACATCAAGAATACAGCACAGCCATATCTACTGTTATAGAAACATGTCCATAATATATAGTTTAGTGAGAAAGCATATTTTGGAGCAATATACACTGAATGACTGCATTTATTATACAGAAAGATGTTCAAGATATATTGTTTAATTCAAAGCATGCTGAAGATATGGAATGAATCCATTTAGGTAAAAGAAATGTAGGGAGACAGAAAATTTCCCCCAAAAATTCGTAAAAAATTGTTAGCAATAGTTGCCTCTGAGGAAAGGAAGTGAAGGAGTATAGAGAAGTAAGAAGAAACTTGGTTTCTCACTTTTTACCCTTTCATATTGTTTAAACTTTTTTCAATGTCTTTTTCAATTTAAAAAGAAGCAAAGTATAAACATGAAAATAAAAAAGGACTTTTAAGCATAAAGCAATGATGCAGAAAAGAGGCAAAGGGATGATGAATTAACATAATTAGAATAAAGATAATTTCCATTTCTCTAACAGCTTTGATGAGTTCAAATTTTTGCAAATATAATAAATGATATGCTAATAATCCCAAGGATAAAAATTGTTTACTCTTCATTTAGCAAAATAATAAACGGAAGCAGTAGGAAATAAACATTTATCTTCTAGCACGAGCAATTTAGTAGCTCAATAGACTGAAGGCTTCGGTCAGCTTTAATTTTGTGTGAACCAATTCATAGCATCCCTATCTGTTGCTATGGAAACAACTGTGACTAAAAAAATCATAACCTCATTGTTGAATCTCCTCAAATAGAAAAAGAGGAAGGTCTTTTGAGGTGATGGAAAGCTACAAATAGCTTTATTAATTAGCACATTTAATAATAACAATTCTGGACAGTATACAGAGAGAAAACACATCCATGTCTAAGTGTAATAAATTTAAAGGCTTTCCTTAGTTTTGAAATTATCACAGCAAGCACTGTCCTTCCGAAAGCCCTAATCTGTTAAGAATTTTATTTACTGCTTTTAGATAATTTTTTCATTTGTAGAAAGAGAATAGTTAAAGAGGTTTCTATTTAAAGTTTTTAAAGATATTTTTAAGCACCTCTCATTCTGCCTAAGCAATCAACAATATCATTTCTCTCTCATTCTCTATTAAGAAAATGAGAATTTTAATGTGGATGCAGTACATTTGACAACAATTAGATTTACTGTTCATCTCGGTAGGTTTTGTCTTCTGCAACAAAAGCAGATTACTGAAGAGGACACAGATTGCATCAAATGTTCCTGACAGTAATAAGAGGAGATGCTTGTCAAGAGAATGATGGAAAAGTGTTACGAGGCAGTAATGCTTTGAGAAAGGGAAATTCAGCTTTAAACTTCTTTCAAGAGAAGGGCACCATTTTTTGCTCACTGACATAAGATGTGGAATGTTGTAAATCTGTTATAGTGGGTTCCTCTAAAGTAAGAAAAAACAATAAGAAGAATTTAAAGACTGATGCAAAAAAACCGAGGTGGCATTTTACGTCTTCAGTCGACTCCAAAGTATGTAAGATTATTCAAGTCTACTTTCTCCCTTAAAAGCCATCAGCAACAAATAAATTGATTGCAAATTTAAAAATCACTTTGACTTAATGTCATATCTTTAAAAACAATCTACATATTTTCAGTCTGTGGGCTGGTATGCAATTAAGGAACAGTGAAATTTAAATTTTATGTACTTTTCTGAGTTGCTAGAAAATCAGGTAAATCCAAGACCTAACTGGGTTGGGGAAAGCAGTGGGGAACAGAAGGTCAAGAAATAATTCCAATCTCCCTCAAAGAAATTGTGATAGGGAACACTAAACACAGCCCTCTGAGCAGGAGACCAAGTAAGCCTCGCTCTCGGGAAAATAAGAGAAGGAAGTTAATATTGAGTATCTACTATTCATTCACTAACAAAAATTTGGCAGTTGAAGATTCAGTAACGAATAAGACAAAAGATCTCTGCTCTCAAGGAGCTTTCCTTCTAGCAGGAGAAATGCACATAAAACAGAGAAACAAATGTGTGAATGAGATAATTTGATGTGGTCTTGAGTGGCACAGATTTCCATTCAAGATGGTTCTAGAAGGTCATACTTTGGGGATATCTTCCTTCTCCAAACACACAGCAATGAAAGAGAAAATACAAGTGTGAAAATTAAAGACATGGTCATGCAAACAGAAGATGGACATCTTCATGGATGAGAGTATGAACACAAATAAGCACATGAAAAGATGTTCAACATCATTAGCCATTTGGAAAACACAAATTAAAACCACAATGAGATATCACTACAAACCTATTAAAATAGCTAAAATAAAAATAGTGGCAATACCAAAAGTTGGTGAGGATTCAGAGAAATTGGGACAGTCTCTTAACAAAACTTAGTATGCACTTACCATACAACCTTAGATATTTATCCCAGAGATATGAAAACTTAACATACAAAAACCTGTACACAAATGCTCACAGCAGCTTTATTCATAAATAGCCCCAAACCGGAAACACCCAAATATCTTTCAATTGGTGAATGGTTGAATAAACTCTCATACATCTATACAATGTGATGGTATTTAACAATAAAAAGGAATGAATTATTGATACAGGCAACAACTTGAATGGATCTCAAGAGAATTATGCTGAGTGAAAAAAATGTATGTCGAAAGGTTACACATTGTCTGAGTCTATTTACATAACATTCTAGAAATAACAAAACTATAGAGATGGAGGAAAGATTAGTGGTTGCCAGCGGATGGGGCTGTGGGGGGTGAGATAGGGTGGATAGCACGAGAGACTTCTTTTGTGGGGATAGGACAGTTCTGTATCTTGATTTTGGTGCTGGTTACACAAATCTATACTTTGGATAAAATTGCACAGAACCCACACGCATACACACACAATCAAATGCAGGTTAAAAAACTGAATACTGAATTAAAAATCTGAAAACGGAATAAGGTCTACAGTCTAGTTAGCAGTAACACACCAATGCCCATTTCCTGGTTTTGATATGGTACTACAGCCATAGAAGACGTCAACCCTGGGGGAAGCTGGGTAAAGGGTATGTGAGGCTCTATACTATGCCTGCAACTTCCTGTAATTATTTCATAATAATTATTATGAATTATACATAATAATTATACACAATGTAATGTAATTATACATGATATAATTATACATTATGTAATTATACATTGCATAATTATACATTATATAATTATACATAATTATGTATAATTATTTTATAATAAAATGTTTTTAAAAATGAGTAGAGAAAGATGGACTGTTCAATAAATTAAACATTGCTCATCCACAGTGGTACAAATAAAATAAGACCCTTATCTTATACTATATAGTAAAATTCTAGAGGGCATAAGGATTTCAACATTTAGAAGAAAAAAATACGTGACCTTTATTATATTAGGATAAAAAAGAATTTCTTAAATAAGATTTTTTTAAAAGCACAAACTATGAAAGAAAACTTTGATAACTTAAATTTATTTTTATTTAAAACCTTGTATAACAAAAGACACCAAAAACAAAGTTAAAATACAAGCACAGTTCCTCTCAGAACACATGAAGTTGGAAAAGCAAGAAAACGAATTCTCCCCAGGGCCTCCAGAAAGGACGGCAGCCCTGCGGACACCTGGATTTGAGCCTGGTGAGACCTGTGTCAGACTTCTAACCCACAGATCTGTAAGACTATACATTTGTGTTGCTGGAAGGCACTAAGTCGGTGGTAATTTGTAAGAGCCACGACAGGAAACTACTACAGTGACTTACCTCTGTTGATTTCCAAGCATTGATCTTGAAGGGTAGTGTCTCCTGGGACAACGCAGTTCCACTAGGCAACTGAGCGTCTTGGCACTGCTGTTGTTTCAATCCTGCCTTGGAAGCGTTTTCTGTCAACAACATAAAGCTAAGATTTCACTTTGGCAAAAATACTAATGTTTTTACATTAGCTCACAATTTTTAAGTTAACCACTTCTAAAGATCCATTTTGTCTACAAAATAAATATCATCTGCCAATGGTTACCTATGAATATTAATCACTTCAATATGTCTTTTTATAATAACTGACAAGTTCAGACATTTTAAAAATACAACTTCAATTCTAGCCCTTTGTCCCATAAACAATTCTATTTTATAGCTTTATTTCTGAAACACCTTTTTAAAAATAAGGTGTAACAGAGTCTAGAAAATAGCGTGTGCAAATTATTCAAATGAAATTTTAGAAAAGTAGGAATGGCAACCACAATTATTCTAATTAATATTTAAAACAACTTTATTACTGTAGTGTGAATTTCACGTGTTCTAAGGGAAACTAATCAGAAATGTAGACTATTTGATAAAAACTTTTAAACAAAATTTTAAAAAATTTAAACATAAAAGAATATGCCAATGAAAATAAACTGCTATTTTTGCTTATATACTTTTGCCGAATTTAATGTTTTTGTTGCCTTAATATCCTTTTCCTTCCTACGTTAATTACTGTGTAAACAAAGGTATTTTAGTACGAACTATATTTCAGCATATTATTGGGTACAATCAGAAGTATAAGAATCTTCAAGCTGGTGTACGCACACCACTGGGGGAACTTAGACTTCCCAAGGGCTAGGTGGGCATAAATAGTTTTAAAGGGCTCAATTCCAGATCCACAAGTTCTATATATGTTGTTTCCGAAAACCGATCTGCCTGAGAATGCAGCTGTGTAGAAGTATCATGCTAGTTCTTTCCCCTTCCCTTTCAAAATCAATTTTCTCCCACTTTACGAACACAGACATATTCTTTGCTCAACTTGTCATGGTGCATCTTCCCTTCAGGCGCAAGCCTAAGAATCTCTAAGGCACCAAACAATAGTAAAAAAGACTGGTATGGGGAAGCCTTCTATAATGGAGGCACGAAAAACCCAAACTAGAGCTTCAAAGTTCACCCTGTCTTACACACATTTCTTTTAACGGCAAAGCATGGCATAAGTCATCGGGTATTCAGGTCCATACTGGGATGTTGGGTATTCAGATATATTACAGTTTGGAGGAGCAGGATATTTGACAAGTTTCATTTAATGTCCTTATGCTTTTCATCCCCCAACTATTGTCAAAGAATGCGTCATTCCTGAGGAAGAGTCCCATGAAAGGAAAGCAAAGAAAGCATGGAAGACACCCACCTTATTTCATCAGTGCAACAGACTTACGACAAGGCTCCATGCCTTAGCTATCCGTCTTAGGAAAAGAATTCAGGAGTGGGAATACAACCTGAGTGACGTTTGTTTACAGGTTTATTTGAATAAATAAAGGGTAAAATGTTTTCTGAAAGAATGTTTAAATCTGATCTGGCTGGTTGTTTCGACAGTGAGGATGGCTTTGCCAACTAGGTAAATACAGTAAATACTTTCCAAAAAGTGAATGAACCAAATCCGCAGTCCTGAAGAGTTGATGAAAATCTATTTAAAGCATATGACACAATAAAATCATTTTCTCAAAAAATTATTGTATTGACAGGTATATTGCAATTAATGTTTTCATTTTTCCCACAATTTCTGAGGACACTGGGTTAGAGTGTAACAGGCATAATTAACAGTCATTTGATAAATCTTAGCAAAAGCTTTTTGGTATTATTCCCAGAAATTGAGAAAGTAAATTACTCCTAATGACTATTTAACAAATCTTTTTCTAAGTAGGGTGTTTCCAATCCTTTGCTTTCAACAATATTGAAAAAAGACCTAATCAAGTTAAAAGTTGACAAGAGATGAAAAACATTTTTATAATAAATCACTATAAAATTTTTGGCATATTACTTGGGAGGAATTCATAGAATTGATTGACAATGCTATAATAAAACATCTTCTATTCCCACCTACAATTTTATGTGAACAAGTCTTCTCAGCATTTACATCTATAAAGATGTAAAATAGAAACAATTTACGCTGAACCCTGCTTATTTCTAACAATAAGTAATATTCATATGTGGGTAAATGCACAGTTCCATGTATCTTATAAAAACGTGTATTTCCAATAAACTGTATTCTTTATGTTTAATAAGTATTTAGAAAAATTTACCATACATTTATGTGGTTTTGGTTTTGATCGATTGTGTACTAAAAATAATTATCATGATAAGTCAGTCTAGAAGGAAGATTTTACCACTTAAAGCCACTGGTCACAGAAAATTTAGAAAAATAATTTCAATTTATATACGTATTTGATGTAGAGAGAATTTCAAGCATAAAAACACTTTCTATTAGGATACAATTCTCTGAGGAAGATGGAATAGAAATATGACTTCAAGGAGAAAAGGCAATGGTATAAAATTTCCAACAGTTAAAGAAGACTTCGTGTATTTTTTTCCAATAAATGACTACAGGTGTCAATCACATCAGTATTTAGATTCCTTTAGATACACTTAAAAGACTCATGTAACAGGTTTTTTTTGTTTTGCTTTCTTTTGTCTTTAATGTCAATATTTGCATTATATCCTTGGCAGTTATTTATGCTTAGGATAAAATTTCACATGTTAACTTAAAAATGTGTAAGGGGGTACAAATTTTTCACAATCATTTTAGGGGTTATGCAAGAAAAACAGCTTGAAAAGCAATGGTATAAGACATGGTCCTTGCCTTCACAAAGTTCATAGCCTGACTAGGGAGCTAACTCTAACATATAGACTTACAGGAAACGATTAGAGGAGAATAATGACATGCTAAACTTTCTTAGATTAACTAACTTTAGGAATAGACATTCTAAGAAAGAAGAAAATCACTGTGCACCAGAGTAATCAGGAAAGAGCCTCAAATAGGAAGTAAAATTTGAACAAGGCTTTGAAGGATGGCTAGGATTCTGATAAATATAGAGGGAAAAATTATTCCAAGCAGAAGAAACTACGTGGGCAAAAGCAGGAAGTATGGTATATGCTAAAGATACCACAGAAAGAATAAGAACTTTGCATTTATGGTTCTAACTTTTCATTTTTTTGTAACTTCACATGAAAATGAATAATTAAAATCAGCTTATTTTGGACTTGGAGATTTTATAATTAATACTGGAAAACAGTAGTAGTTTGAGGTGTAGATCATCTATGGACTTTCATGTGATCTGATCAGGAACTATATTACCACTCTGAGCATTCAGCGACGAACTATCCTTGAGATGATATGGACTTGAGCTTTAGACATCACAGAAGCAGATTAATAAAAATTTCAGCAAGTCTATTTTGAAGTAAAGTGTAAGGAAAACTTAAGAATAGCAAGAATTGTGAAAGAAAAAAAATCTTGCATATTTGGAGATGCACTTTAGCCTAGAACAGCTAAAATGTTATAACCTATACTAAGTAATCTTATCGGGGCAAGAAGGAAGGCACTTAGAATACAGTGAGTCTATGGAAAATCACTTAGAAATTTTTTTAGTATCAGACAGCAGAACACTGGAAGTGAAGTGTGCTTAATTAAATGAGAAGATAACCCAACATTTATTTCTGGATTTTCATAAGCAAGTGGAAGGGGAAAACACACATTCAGTTCCTTAGTGGAAATCTGTTTGGTATCATAAGATATCGATCAATTGAGACTGTGAAGTCACAAGCCAAGGAGAACTAGTATGTGAATGAGAAACCTCAGAGGAAAAAGTGAAGATGGTGCAGGAAACGATGCTCTTGAGTAATCTGAAGATGAGTGCTCAGATACCAAGGTTGTAGGGACTTTGTAGAAACTATCTCGAGAGAAGCTGTGGATCTTGTTGAGCCTGTACCACTCAGATAACAGCACAAAGCAGAACTAGGGAAGCCTGTGATGGTTCTCAGATGAGATATCAAACTGACAGTCAAACTATCAGACACTGACAGCGCCAACACCACATTTTGGAACTGAAATGCTCCATAAACTGAATAAATTCCCAAATTGTTCCATTTGTTATTTAACATCTAATAAACATTGTTGCTATGTACTGACAGTGTCCTTTCAGGTGTAATTTAAGTAAATTAAGTCGTTTATTTAACAAAATTAATTTTTAAAAATAAACAAATGTATCCATCATAGAATATATTCAGTGGACTAATGAAGAACTGATAAGATAAAGTCTCAAGGTGATTAAGTTTATATCTAACTTTTGCAGAATTATGAGTTTGGAACCTTAACAATTTCACTGTCTTGGAGCATAATTACACTTAAGCATCTTCAAGTAATTAATATTTGTCCTAATTTTTTAAACTTTCATTTTATAATAATTTCAAACTTACAGAACATTTGCAAGAATAGTATAAAGAATTCCCATATACTCTTCATCCAGATTCACCAATTGTTAACATTTTTCCCCATCTGCTTTATAATTCTCTTTCTTCATTTAAACACATATTCTAATAGTCCTATATTTTAAACCTTGAGGAAAAGCCACTGTTGTTGGCTGAGTTCCCCAGGACACGGACCCCAAGGCCCAGATTTGTACGAGGGAGATTCATTAGGGGGTGCTCTCAGAAACATCCGTGAGGAGCATGGGAGGCAGAACTGGGGCAAGGGAGAAACTGAACTGTAATTCGGTTGCAACAGAGGCCTCAGCCAATCCTATTAGGAACTTTGGGGCTGGGATGACTCTTCACAGTTGTCCTGCCCTAGAGCAAGGGAGCTAGCCCATACCTACAGGTTGGATGTAGGTCCCCTCAGGAAAGGGGCATGACCTTGGGCAAAGAGGCTATCTTCAGTTGTTGGGAATTCCCAGAGAAAGACTCAGCTGAAACCCTCAGGCGCCAACCCCCCAAGCAGCGGAGGGAATGAGTTCCTTGGTCTGGAAGCAGGATTTGGGCCGCACCACAGCATCCAACACAGACACAACCTCTATGCTGCTATATACTTCTGAGAAATGCTTCAGAGGGACAGGAGATAGAGTGTGAGTAAAAAGATAAAGAACAAGAAAGC